TGAGCTGCGCGCTCTGGCTGAGGTCTATGGAAGCTCGGATGGACAGGAAAAGTTTGTCAAGGACTTTGTTACCGCTTGGGATAAGGTCATGAATCTGGACCGGTTTGACCTGAAGACCTCGGGTATTGCACGCTCCAAGCTGTGAATAGTGCTTGCATCGGTTCAAATTGATTTAGTTAGCATGAGTAATGGAATAGTCAATGAAGGACTTTCTAAATGCATTGTTCTTACCGTTATTGCTTGATTAAGCTTCACTAATCCAATGATGGATTTAATGTAAGTGAGTGCCCTGTAGAGCTACTTCCATCCTAAGGTTGCACAGGTGCGCCTTCCCACCGATACTCTGTTGTCCCGGCGGGTTTCCATCCGGGAAGGTCACAAGCCATCCTCGGGTTATATTGTCGGGCTGTTGAGCTGTCAAGAGACTGACCTGGCCGGCCTGTTGAGACAAAGCTCGGATTCTTGATCTCAGCAGATAATATCAACCCCAAAAGCCATGACTCTCCATCTTCTTATTCTCCTCCTCATCTCCCTCTTCGCAGCAGCCTTCTCCGTCTCGGAAGTGGACGTTGCAATTATCGGCGCGGGCTTATCCGGCCTCTCCGCAGCCAAAGACATCGCCGCCGCTGGTAAAACCTTTGCCATACTTGAAGCCCGCGATCGTGTCGGAGGTCGTGTCCTGAATGTCGAACTTCCTGGCGGTATTGTCGAGGAATTTGGGGCCGAGTTTGTGGGTCCAACGCAGGACCGAGTCCTAGCACTCGCAGCTGAACTAGGGCTAGCTACATATCCAACCTATAACACAGGAAATTGCACTTTCCTGAGAAACGGTACAGTTACCAATTATACATGTGAATTGGGCAGTGCTAGTCTTCCGCCCTTAGCCACTGAGGCTTTGATCGAGGTGGGAACACTCCAGCAGCAGCTTAATACCCTCGCCGCCGAAATTAATGTGCGGGCACCATGGGACCATCCCAACGCCTCTATGTGGGATACCATGACTCTGGGGACCTTCTTCGCCTCGCAGCTTACATTGTCTGATGCAAAGTTTCTTCTCAATACATTCGTTACTGGGGTTCTAGCTACCGAGACTAATGAGCCCTCGCTACTTTATACGCTCGCTTATATTGCCGCAAGTGGGAATGAGACGGAGGTGGGAACTCTGGATCGGCTTATTGATGTGGTTGGGGGTGCTCAGGAGAGTCGGATAGTTGGCGGGACCCAGCTGATAGCGTTGAGGTTGGCGGATAAATTGGGAATAGAGAACATTCACCTTTGCAGTGCTGTTCGGAGAGTGGAACACAACAACGGGCAATACATGATTATCTCAAATGAGACTCAGATCATAGCAAAGCGAGTCATCGTCGCAATGTCCCCTCCTATGGCCTCACGCATCTCCTACGACCCACCCCTCCCCCCAGCACGAGACCAACTCACTCAGCGCATGGGCATGGGATCAATAGGCAAAGCAATAGCCATCTATCCCACACCTTGGTGGCGTGAGCAGGGGCTGAATGCGCAAGCACTTGCCGATACCGGCATCATCCACATAACGTTCGACAACACCCCGGTTGATGAATCCATTGGCGCTATCATGGGATTCATTGTTGGGGATGACATGAGACTAGTGGACAAAATGAACGAGACAGAGATTGAAGCAGCAGTCATTGACAGCTTCGTGGGTATGTTTGGTCCACAAGCTGCGCATCCCGACCATGTGATTGTTCAGCGCTGGGACTGGGAGGAATATTCTCGTGGTGGGCCGGTCGCGTATGCACCTCCTAGTGTGCTGACTGACTATGGTGCGTATTTGAGGGAGTCGGTGGGTGGGATTTACTTTGCTGGTACGGAGGCGTCATACTATTGGACTGGGTATATGGATGGGGCTGTTCGGTCAGGAGAACATGTGGCGGCGGAGGTGTTGAGATCGTTGGAGTGACCAGTTATTGTTCCTTTGCTCGGAGGATATTGGGGCATTATCGTTATAGGGAAGGGCGTCGTCTAAATGGTTTTGGCGACGAATGGCAGTTGCTGCTTTCATAACCTGATGTTTTATGAGACAGTCAAGTAGTGGTCGTCTCCGCAGTAATAATGATTGCTATGACTTCCTCAAACAACTGACCTCCAATTCAAGCAGGACCGAGAATATATACTGCTCCATATGATGTGAGCTAACACAATCAACCGTTCCGACCACTAAGTCACATGACTACAGCTGTGAGAAAATAACCCCTGTGAACTGAACGGAGTCCGCAAGGCTCTGCTTCAATCCCATTGCTCCGGCGATTCTGTTCGATGGGGCGTAAGCTGGCCATTTCAATAGCCCGGGCGGCTCGCTGTCAAATCATAGCAAAAGAATCCCCGCCAGCCCCCCCACAAACAAAAGCACTGCTGCCCCACCATATATTAGCCCGGCTGCTGAGCTGGGAGTTGAGCAGTCATATCTCGTGAGATTATCATCTCCTTTTCCCTGTCTTTTTAGCCACTTGGCACACCTATTCCTCTCATCCATGCATGTAACACTGCCTGGTTCCCAAACTTCGGAAGTAAAACATTCTAAACAAAGACAATGCGCTTGATAAACGCCAAAACCCTCGGATTGGAGGAATTTGTAGGGCAGAATATTCCTGAATATGCTGTCCTGTCTCATACTTGGGGAGAAGATGAGGTCACCTTCCAGGACATGCAAACACCTACAGTAACTGAGAAAAAAGGTTATGCCAAAATCACCCATTCCTGTGAATTGGCTCTGCAAGATGAACTAGGTTATGTATGGGTCGATACATGCTGCATCGATAAAACGAGCAGTTCCGAGCTTTCTGAAGCCATCAACTCTATGATGGCATGGTACGCCGAGTCCAAAATTTGCTATGCCCACCTAGCAGACGTACCTCCGATCACTGATGAAGGGCTTGATGAAGCTGCCTTTTCGCGGAGTCGATGGTTTACTCGAGGGTGGACCCTTCAGGAGCTTATTGCACCATGTCATTTGGTATTCCTGGCTCGAGATTGGTCAGACCTATACGAGAGGGGGGCTTTGGCTGGGCTTATAAGTGATATCACTGGTATAAATCACTCATTTCTGGATTGGAGGCCAGAGAATTCTTTGCTTGGATTTAGATTGAAGTCGACAAGTATCGCTGAAAGAATGAGCTGGGCTTCGAACCGTGAAACCACTCGAACTGAAGACATGGCATATTCCCTGTTGGGTATACTTCAAGTCAACATGCCTCTCCTGTATGGAGAGGGATCTGCTGCCTTTCGAAGACTACAAGAAGAAATCATTAAATATTCTGACGATCAGTCATTGTTTGCGTGGAGTTTCAGAGAACCAGAACATGATTTGAGTCATAAACGACCATGGTCGATATCTCAGTCGTTGCTCGAGAAATTGGTTTTTATCTTCAAAGACTATGAAACCCCTCCAGAATGTTCTGGAGCAATGCCAATAGACGCCTCATACTTCTCGGGGATCCTTGCTGAGTCTCCAGCGGCATTTCAAGGTTGTGGCGACATAGTTCCATGCGACGTCAAAAGGCCGACCCCTCCTTTCTCAATGACCAATAAGGGCCTAAGTATAGAACTGCCACTTCTTGAGCTCTCAGACGGCTGGTTCATTCTCCTTCAGTGCCAAACGAAGAGAGACCCTACTAGGCTAATAGCCGTGCCATTACAGAAGATAGGCGATACCTACTGCCGATCCACACGAGGGAACTACGTGGCCGATCATGCAGCCTGGTTTAGATGGCCCCGCAAACAGCTTTACTTTTTCCCCGATATCAAGGCGACCCATGCAGGGATCATGTATAACCCATGGTATTCTGTCATCATAAGAGGTCTTCCGCCGAATCTTGGGATAGTGGACGTACTCCCATCTGATCCCGGCCGGCGGTCTGATTCAAGGGTCCTCTCCACAAAAACCACGGGAGATTTTAATCAGGATACCGAAGATGTTTTTGTTTGGCTTCAGGACATGGATGACAACCGTCTCTCATTCATATTGGATGTGGGAATGAGAAAGCCCTGGTGGAGCTACGGCTCCATTTGGAAGACCATACCCACACCTTATTTGTTCCTTCCTCCTCCAGATAATGGCACACCAACGTTCGAGGACTTAAAGAACTCAGTGCGTCAGCAGAACTTGGCAACTAGTCCCTCGATCCCATATTCCGTCGAAACAACAACACAGACTTTGTCTCAAAGCATAATTCACATGATTGATATTATACCCAGGTCACTTGACAGGAAACAGGCTGATCTAGAAGTACATAATTCAAGATACTGGGTGGGTCTCCTGCACCAAGGTTTCAGGCATGACTCACTCGTGGAGAGCCTTTATCGAAGTTGGCTCGATTACTTGTGTGACAGAGGCATTCACTTTCTTCGACTGCTTGCGCTTTCACCTTTGTTCTTGACATTTCCCATTGACCACTTAGCTAGATTGTGTATATCACTGACCATGCCAGTAGTATTACACATCATTTCTTATAAAGAATGTCTGACGGCTACCAGCTATCAAGATCGTCTAGCAGCTGTCTTTCGAAAGATGCGTCAAACAGTCATGGCTTATAAATTCAGTCTCGCAGCTGTTGGTTCGGCAAGCTGTTTACTACTTAGCAATCCTTCTGCTATACGCAGAATATGCATCTGGGTTCTGAAGTATTCACGTTCGCGGGGTGTCCTGAAGATGCTGTTGTTGTACATCATCTGCAAATGTATTCCACCAAAGACGCTCTTGTCTCTTGCTGGTACGGAGGAAACATATGATGAAGATTGAAGACTCAATTTTGTTTACACTCCCATCAATAAAATACTACTAATAAATCTATTTTTTCCGAGGAGACTGCGTAGCTAGTATGCACTCATCTTAACTCAAATATAACCATAACTTCTATATTGTAAGACCTCCATGTGATTGATGATATAATGATCCCCAGCAACAATGGGCATATCCGTAGAAACAAGTAATTCTATTCATTGCCAGTACTATAGTACAAAAGTTACACCTCACCCTCCGACACCTGTCTATACACCTTCAACTCAACCACACTACCAGCCTGCCTATCCAAAAGATCCCTCTCCGTATCATTCGACCCCCTCTCACCCCCTTCATTCTTCACCCCCCTTGCTTCCCCATCAACAGTATTGGCTCTCATCCTAGTACTAACATGAACCCCCACGCCCCCCTCCTTAACCCACTTCCAACTCCAACTCCGACTCCTCCCAACACGCCAACTCCACGACCCCACCCCACTCCCACTCCCACTTCCTCCCTTCCTGCCCCCACCACACCCCACGCTCCTCACAAAAACATTAACCCCGGGCAAACACGAACACCCCACGGCAACATCCACCTCCAACATAGCAAGCACCCAGCAATACCAAACGTCCCAGCTTGCATCATAACTGACATAAAACATCCTATAAAGAAACCACACCCTCACCCCAGCCACAACAGCAGCCAAATACCCCAACCCAAACACCACCCCATTGAGCAACACCTTCTGCCTCAGCCTCATCTGCAAACTCCAACACAACACAGCGGGTAGTGTTGTGGCCACGATATCCTGCACAAGACTTATAAACGTCGCGGCGATGAGATGGGCAGGTTCATTGTAGCACGTGTATTTGTGCGTGGCGGTATACTCCGGGTCGACTTCCATCCAGTAGGCCGAGAAGGGACGACAGGCGACCCAGATTACGATGAAGAAGGCGAGCGTGTAGGCTGCTACGCTGGCGATGCTGATGTAGATGATGTTGAGGAAGCGAGGGGAGATGGTGGTCCGGTGGCCCATGCGCCGATAGAAGAGTAGGACTGAGATCTTGGTAAAGCACGAGGAGAGGATGTAGAATAGTTCTTGTGCGATGGCGAGTTTGCGAGATTGGAGGAGTTGGGGGAGTGTATTGTCCCATACGTGGTGGTTTTCGCCGTAGGTGTAGGCTCCTGAAAGGTGTCGGTGTTAATTTGGGTGGAAGTTGGGTGGGGGGGATGGGAGGAGTGGAGGGAGTACCCAGGGGGAAGCTGATGTTGAGGCCTATGGCTGGGATCTGGAGGTTGTTAGAAGGTACTGGGTTGTGATAGGAAGGGGTCTGTCTTACTAGTGCTAATGCGATGAATATGTCGTCTAGTTTACCCTGTCGCTGAATTACGCAGCGAGCCCATAGTCGAAGTATGACTGCTGTGACTGCGATGGATCCGAAGATAACTGGGAGCGCAATGGACGCTGCCCCATGGGTTTCCGGGTTGATGGTGTTGCGCGCAGGCCATGATTCCATGACCGAAAGCGGTGGATGCAGGCCTCCTGGCATGGTTAAGGGATGAATAGAACTGACAGGATGATGACCTGCAGTCAAACTCTACGTGCAGCAAACCAGGAACCGCATCCTTTACATACCTGCCACAGCAAGCATAATCTGAGCTCCAGTGTCTGTAAATTTAGCTCAACGCGCAAAAAGATGAGATCCACAAACAAAGCTCCCTATTATGGATACAAGCAGGAAATGACACAAACAAATTCTCCGAATCAATATAACCATGACACCAATGACTAGATGGAGCCAATAAGGCCCCGAAGCTCAAAAATGGGACAGCCCGTTGTGGGGCGGCAACCCTAAATTGGCCATCGATCTGGGGCGTTTCACCATGAAACGCCCACACAAAGAAGAGCTGGTGGTCCTGGCACCTGTCAACTGGATTAGCCTGCAGGTGGATGTCACAGTGGCGTGAGGGCAGTGGACGTATCAATATTTCATCCCGGCTTGTGGTCTCCAGTCCCGGATTGATTAGACGGGCCGATTCTGACGTTGATGGATCAACAGGCACCTTCGGGATTCACTCTTTATCTTGCTCCTTATGGTGACTCGTCCGTTGGTATTATTCGCCAGATATGGTTCCAGGACGTTGATCAAATCCCGATGTCCACAGTAACTTTAATGGCTTTACCGGCCCTGCTTCGAGCTTGGATCGCACTTTAGTTTCGGCCGAAAGGACGGCTAGGCCCCCGGTAGCTTGATCTCAGTCTCACACTTGAATGGCACTTAACGAGTTTACTTTGTTAATTGGCTATGATACGGTCTAACCCATCGATGGGGAGACGGTTCGTAATTTTGAGCGGACTTATATTGGCTCCCCACCACTTCCCTCGGTCGGAGTGCCATAGGGTCACCCTCTGAACAGTAGCCTGGATCGAGTCCACTCCGACCGGGCGGCAAAAGCGTTAAGTCAAATTTCTGACTGGAAGTGTGGAGCCTTTCGGCATGTTATGGCAGGCCTTGCAGTTATTGCTCCGGCTATGACAAGTTGGTAGGTCAGGTACCAGGCGAGTCATAGCTGCCAAGGCCTCTTGCACTAAGACATGCTTTAGTTGAGTACTCCTTCGGGCAAGACGAAACCCAGCTGCACATTTTGTGTGATTTTCAACTGGAAAAGGTCGTTCGCGTGTGAAGGTTAACATGGCTGCGCTAGCCCTGCAGGCGTCAGAAGAAACCCCCGACCGTGCTTGTCCGGGACTGCGTGCCATCAGAATGGCATGCATTCACCCCCATCTGCATCTCGTTGTTCCGCCAATCAGAGTTAATTTTGTCTCCGTCATCACACTATGAAAGCCACTCAGTTTACAGCTTCCATGAAGGAATTTGTATCATGATCCTATGAGTACTGTTCGAACACACGCGGATATTACCAAAGTCTAAGCTCCTCTGTCAATATGTTGATGACTGTCATCTCGGAGGCTTCTCCGTGATGAATCAGTCACGCAGCAACATCTGACCCCAATCTCCTCATAATTAATCTATTCGGCTATTCGGTCCTTTCTCCGGATATATGTCCTCGTCCCTGCATCTGCACAATCAGATCATCCATACGGAGCAGGTTAAGATTCGTCTGTCTGACCACACAATGCCTTGGTCCGTTCCAGGTCAGGTATAGCATGTTCGTTCGAGTCACTAACGCAGGGCCAACTGCATGTCACGCATGTGCGAACATCGTTACCTTACAATTGTGCCTGAAAAGCAGCTCCGATGCTTGAACCTGCTGAATATATAAGCTCCATGCTCTCCCACATGAATCGACAATTCATCAGTAGCACCAAGACTATCACCAGTCACAATGTGGCGTACAATCACGGCCCTGGCAGCAGGCTACTTGATTGACTCGGTCCAGGCAGCCGCTTCTCAGGAATATACCTGGAAGAATGTAGTCACAGGAGGTATGGTTTATTTTTTCGGCATAGGGAATGAACAAGCTAATGTTCTCAGGTGGCGGAGGCTTCACGCCGGGCATCGTGTTCAACCCTTCAGCCAAAGGTGTCGCGTATGCTCGCACAGACATCGGTGGTGCATACCGATTGAACTCGGATGATACATGGACTCCTTTGATGGACTGGGCCAACAACACCAATTGGTACGTAATCCCCTCTTGCGATATGCTCGTGCTCACTGTTCAGGCACGACTGGGGCATTGATGCGATCGCGACCGATCCCGTTGATACCGACCGAGTGTATGTTGCAATGGGCATGTACACCAACGATTGGGATCCCAATGACGGCTCGATCTTGCGGTCAACCGACCAGGGCGATACCTGGGAGGAGACAAAGCTCCCCTTCAAAGTTGGAGGGAACATGCCCGGTCGGGGCGTTGGCGAAGTATGTCCCATGTCTGTTTATTGCTAGCATACACTGACCACTGCAGCGACTGACCGTGGACCCGAATGACAACAGCATCTTGTACTTTGGAGCTCGTAGTGGCAATGGCTTGTGGAAGAGCACGGACTATGGCGCGACCTGGTCGAACGTGACTGCCTTTAAGTGGACTGGCACTTATTTCCAAGACTCCAGCTCAACCTACACGTCTGATCCGGTAGGAATTGCCTGGGTCACTTTCGACTCGACCTCAGGGTCCAGCGGCTCTCCGACTCCGCGCATCTTTGTCGGTATGTTAGAGACTTCAGATCTCTTAGGGCAGTTCATTGACAATAACAGGCGTGGTGGACACTGGAGAATCAGTCTTTGTTTCTGAAGATGCTGGTGAAACTTGTAAGCACCTCTACTCTTTTCCCACAAACTTCATCTAACAAATACAGGGGCTTGGGTGTCCGGAGAGCCATCGTATGGCTTCCTCCCTCACAAAGGTGTTCTGTCACCATCTGAGCACACTCTCTATATCTCATACTCTAACGGTGCCGGCCCGTATGACGGCACCAATGGCACTGTCCACAAATACAACATCACCAGCGGCACCTGGACCGACATCAGCCCTACCTCTATGGCGGACACCTACTATGGCTATGGTGGACTAGCAGTCGACCTCCAGGTCCCTGGCACCGTCATGGTAGCAGCTCTCAACTGCTGGTGGCCCGATGAGTTGATCTGGCGTAGTACAGATTCAGGAGCAACTTGGTCACCTATCTGGGCTTGGAATGGCTATCCCAGCATCAACTACTACTACTCGTATGACATCTCCAATGCCCCGTGGCTACAAGACGACACCTCAACGGACGAGTTCCCAGTCCGCGTCGGGTGGATGGTCGAAGCCCTCGCCATTGACCCCTTCGACTCTGACCATTGGCTTTACGGTACTGGTGCGACCATCTACGGTGGTCACGACCTCCAAAACTGGGACAGCTCACACAATGTAACCATCGAATCTCTCGCCGTAGGTATTGAAGAAATGGCTGTCCTCGGTCTCATCACTCCCCCGGGCGGACCTGCCCTTCTCTCTGCGGTCGGCGACGATGGTGGCTTCTACCACACTTCCCTAACCACTGCCCCTTCACAATATTACCACACCCCAACCTACGGGTCAACTAACAGTATCGACTATGCCGGCAACAAGCCCGCCAACATCGTTCGTTCTGGATCCAGTGACTCTGATCCCACCCTCGCTTTATCTTCCAGCTTCGGTGAGTCCTGGTACGCCGACTACGCTGCTTCTTCCTCAACTGCGACCGGCCAAGTCGCCCTCTCCGCAGACGCCGACACTATCCTGCTCATGAATAGCGACGGCGCCTATCGTTCTAAAAGTTCAGCTACTCTCAGCTCAGTCTCTTCTCTCCCATCTGGAGCTGTCATCGCCTCTGACAAGGCTAATAACACCTACTTCTACGGAGCGTCCGGCTCCTCTTTCTACCTTTCATCTGACACCGCGGCGACCTTTACTGTCACCACCACCCTTGGCAGCAGCACAACCGCCAACGCCATCCGCGCGCATCCCTCCCTTGCTGGTGACGTCTGGGTCAGTACTGACACAGGCCTCTTCCATTCAACCAACTACGGCAAGTCCTTCACTCAGATCGGAAGCGGATGCACGGAGGGATGGAGCTTCGGGTTTGGCAAGCCCTCTTCCGATAGTGATTACCCTGTGCTATTCGGCTTCTTCACCGTCGATGGCGTCACAGGTCTCTTTAAAACGGAAGATCAAGGTGTCAATTGGCAGATAATCTCCGACGCCGATCACGGGTTCGGGGCTGCATCGGCGAATGTCGTTAATGGTGATTTGCAGAACTATGGAAGGGTATTTGTCGGGACAAATGGACGGGGCATATTTTATGGTGATCCAAGTGGAAGTCTGCCGAGTGCGACTGCTACTGCATCTAGTGCTTCGTCGACGGCGGTGAAGACTTCGACCCCAACTTCGACTTCTAAGGTAGGTACGAGCACAACTATTTCGAGCACAAAGAGTACGGCTACAACTATCACTACGAGCAGTATTAAGTCGACGACCTTGACGACGACTACGAAGTCGAGTAGTTCGACTACTTCAACGACATCGACTGCTACTGGGACGGCGTCAGCGTATGGGCAGTGTGGTGGCAGCGGATATACGGGAGCGACGCAGTGTCCGAGTGGGTGGACGTGCACGTATGAGAATGAGTATTATTCGCAGTGTAAGTTATTCCTTGGTATTGGATACATGGAGACTGACTATTGCAGGTCTTGAGGGTTGAGTGGTTGTAGTAGGGGGTGAGGAGGGTTGATGAATACTACCAGATATCGAAAGTATATTTGACATTGATACTGAACCAATTCCTACTCTGAATTATGAAACTGCTCTGCTCTGTAAGGGCATCTAATGAGAGGTGCTTATCGACTATAACCTAGTATGCGTTAGTCTACTACAATGCGCTGATTGATGACATTTCCATCCCTTCCATACCATATATATAACCCTCTTAACACACATCTACTCCCTTACCAAACACTCCCTATTCAAATCCTCCTTCCTCACACTCCTAATCCCTCCCAAATGCAATGACAACTGCAACTCACCCAACAAACTCCTCAACACATGCCTCACCCCCTCCTCCCCAGCAATCGCCA